CATGCCACAAACCTTCATCACCCCTCTGTTGGAATACAAAGTTCCAATGCATCTCTCATTGCAAATCATCATGCATCACCTCTCCACCAATAGGAGAGCACTACTATCATGTGATGCGCTGTAACTTCTTGTTTGGCAGCTGTTGAGTTCAGATATTCTTTTTTTACATTGTTCACTTACCCTGAAGTGGTTTATTTTTTCATTTTTTATATTTTTTTTAACTTTATTTACTACACTTCACAGTTGTGGAGTTAGTATTTTATTAAAGCATTGTTTCTTCATGTTTATCACATTTTCCTGCTTATGAATTCCAAGTTGCAGTCACAACTTCGGAAACGTCGCCAGCATCTGATGCTGTAAGTGTCTGTTGCCGTATTTTCAGCCATGGGTGCAGGTTACCCATTGGGGTTTACATTGTCACTCATTTGTGGGGAGATTGAGTGGTATATGAGCCAACCTAGACCTTCCCTCTTACATGAAACAACTTTGCAACCCTATTTAGTTTCCTCCCATCCCCCAATATTAGGGTTCACGTGGACCGACTTGCCTCTCAACTGGGGGAGGGCATTAGTATGCCTTGTTCCCCACAGTCTTCAGATCAGTCTGCTCTTGCTTATCATCAGGGAGACCTTTCCTTTCTCGATCAACAGTTGTTGGGGTTGGTTCTATCTGTTTGGGGGGCAAACCCAGATTACCTTGTACAACTTAACCAAGCCCAATTTTTTCACCTTTGTCTCGACCTCACGACTCTATTAAGACACCTTTCTTCCCTTCACCTTCTGTAAGAGGCTCTTCACAGGAACCATGAGGGGTTTTCCTCTCCATCCTTACTTCTATGTTGGCTCATCTGTTGTTTTCAGCTTTTGCACATCAAACGTGGTTTGCTTGTTATTGGGGCCTCTTGAACTGTGATGCAGTTTTGGTGCAGACCCATCTCCAGGCTCCTTATCTGAGGGTTCTCTGCATAGTGCTGTTTTTGCAGCATTATGTATTTGAATCAGGTTCCTGAGTCTTTGGAGTCACGGGTGGCTTCGGCTTATCAACATTATACCCTTACTAACTTGGTACCTCATTTGTCGTAGTCACAGTCGAACATGGCACCGATCCTGTCCCCCATCTTTCCTCTTCCCACCCTCCTGCATTTGACCATTTACTTGATAATGCGCAATTTGCCAACAGCAGTACAGTAGACTATGTGATTGGTTCAGACCAAGTGGGGGCTCATCTCTTGAATTTCGTTCATTTATGATGACCACTTTTTTTTAATGTCTGGGTTCACAAGGTGCTCTCCGAAGGATATTTTAACCCCTTTCTCTCTCCCTTCCTCCATTATCCAGTATCTTCTCGGGATCCCTCAACATTCCAGCATCTGTCAGAGGTAGTTCAGGACCTCATCACACAACAGGTTATTGAAACTGCTCCACCAGGTTCATGGGGTTTTACTCCTGCCTGTTTGTGGTCCCCAAGAAGACCAGGGACTGTCATCCTGTCTTTGATTTATCTGGTCTCAATCACTATGTTCACACTCCTCACTTTACCATGGAGACAAAGCTTTCTCGTTGGTGGGCATTTTTTCCGGGTCTTTTGATGATCAAGGTGGACATTTCCAATGCTTATCTGTACGTTCCTGTGGTGGAGCATTTCTCTCCATATCTTTGGTTTGTCGATCAATGGGTTGTGTACCAGTTTCACATCTTACCTTCTGGCCTAGCCTCAACACCATGTGCATTTTGTCATGTGGTGCACTCCTTTGCTCGTCATATTCATGCCATGGGGTTGCATGGATGACTGACTTCTTCTTACTCATTCCAAATGGGAGTCAGCCTATTAAACTCATGGCTCTGTCTGCTTCTGGGTATGCCCCATATCGATGTCTTTGCCTCCACCCTCAATCACAAATTACCTCAGTTTTGGTCCCCAGTTCCCCATCCTTGAGCCTTGGCTGTCAATGCCTTCAGCCAGGCTTGGTCTCATCTGTTCCTTAATGTTTACCCTCCAATCCATTTACTTCATTGGGTGGTCTCCCTCATTGACGCCAATCCATACACAGTCCTTCAGATTGCTTCTTACTAACCCACTCAACCTTAGTTTCCTAGGTTTTTCCAACTGCAGGTGGTCTTTCCTCTTCCCTTCCATCTCTACATGCTTCATCAACCCCAGTCACCAGTGCTCCATCCTGCACCATCTGTCGTCCACCTTCACACGTAGCCTTTGTCAAGTCCTTGGCGAGGAGTTCCTGTTTCTCTCACAGAGTAGCTTCACATTTAACCCATTCCATTTTTGGCTATTTATCAACTTGACTCGGGGTTTCCAAGCTTTTCACCAAATGTTCGCCTTATCTCAGAGTTTCTCACATGGCTCTTTGAGAGGAGATCTTTAATCTTCTCGATTTTGGGGTTTCAGGTGGTATTATTCCATACCTTCCATTTTTTCCCATTACCACAAGGCCTATGCTTCCCCTGTCCTATTCATCTTGATCCATTCCTTCCAGCTCCATCAACCATCAAAGCATCCATCACTCTTAGACTGGGACATTAACATTATCCTTCATGCCTTCACTTTATCTCCATTCAAACCTCTGTGTTCCCTGTTTCACCTCTCTTTGAAGGCATATTTCCTCCTCTTCGTGGCCTGCGGGCATTGTAGATGGGATATTTTTGCCCTCGACATTACCAGGACCTTGTACCACTCCTCCTACCTTATCATTTATCCAGATTCTGCTTTCCTTTCTAAGACATCTGTGGCTCCAGAAGGTCAATTCTCGTTTTCCCCTATCTGCCCATCCTTTATATCTCATCTCTACCCTCGTCCTGATCTGGATAGACTCCTCTGTTCTGTCTGTGCCCTCTGTTGTTATATTGCTTGTATGGCTTCCTTCCGGGGTCCTCGTTCCCGTTTTTTTATCCCTTGGCAACCTTCCTCTTCCCATGATCTTTCCCTGGTTACCCTGATCAATTGGGTTTGATGTTTGATCCAGTTGGTCTATTTCTCCTTTCTCCTTCCCAGTGTAATCTTATTCACGTTTCCTCACATCAAATCTACCAACTTATCTTCCTCCTTGCTTATCGTCTTTGTCAGCCATTGGAAGAGATTCTATGATAAAGCATGTGGAAGACTCTGCACACATTCATCTCCTACTACCTACAGCACATCGCTATTTTTGCTTCCTGTTCTGTGGTGAGTGGTGCCTGGCCATATTCTGTCTGTACTCGGAATGTGTTCCACCTAGATGGCTATAACCATTCACAGACATCTTGCTATCAAATCTGCATTGTAAGCCATGTTAATTCTTAAACATTTTCCATGGTTATGTACACTCACCCCTGAGATTGGGGTGTTTCACTAGAGTGTAAATTCCACATGATAATTGTGTCATAATATGCCCATCCCAGACTGTATCATTCATTGACACTATGAATAAACCAAAAGGTGATTGCTGCCCATCTCTGCCATGCCTAGATTTAATAAATCGGTGTGGTCTGCTTTTAAAAATAAGGTTTTATTATCACCCATTGAACTGTCTCAGTGTTGCAGTCTTTCCAGACTCTCCACTGCACTTTTTCCCTCTTTCTTCCAATGGAGTATGGGAGTCCTTACCACTTACCAGTTCCAAGTTGCTGGGGTGGTTGACCATGGAGGCTACCTGCTGCATATGTTCCACAAAGATGGCTATAACAATTCAGTTCAGAGTAGGGCGGTGGTGTTCTGCCAGTGTGGAAGGAATTAGAAGATCATGTTCCTCCCTCCAGGAGTTCCTCATCCCATAATTTTAGGGTTCCCATGTTTAGGTGAGGAGTTAATCCAAAGAGTTCTTTCTTTAACTTTATCTATACTATTTTGTATTGGTGCAACTGAACACGAATTTATAATAGCAAGATTAAGTGACTCACGCAATGAGTCTACAAGGCCTTGCTTTGCATATTCCTCCCTCATTTATACTTTAGTGTTGTGGGTCATGGTGGAGTAATTGCAGATTGTTACAGTTCTTTCCCTTCCACTATCCTCTGATGTTTCTCATTCCGAGGATGTTAATGCACTTGGAGTGGTTCCTGTCAATTTTACTTTTGAGGGAGATGGTTTACATTATGTAGACATCTTGGGTTCCTGGATCTATCAATTTATCATACTTACATGTGGCATATCTGAAATTTGTTTTTGGACACCAGATCTTTTGCCAGCCATGGTATATCCTCCATCATATCCTTGACCATGCAATCCATTTAGAGATAATCCAACATCATTCAAAATATTTGTACAGTAGCTATATGACTTCAGCTTCCAATTAGAAAGTGCCAACAAAAGCCATTACATGCAACTATTTCAAACCAAAAAATGCTAATGTTTCATCAGAAGAATGTAGACTATGTATAAAACGCTAAATACCATAAGTAGCTGTGCTATAACTATATAAGCATAATTTTTTACATAACAAAAAATCAAACCTCCTTGGACCCCCCATGTATGTTTCCACTATAATGACCCCCCCCCCCCCCCCCCCCC